TTTTTGGTTTTTCGAGACAGGGTTTCTCTGTGTAGCTTTGCGCCTTTTCCTGGAGCTCACTTGGTAGCCCAGGCTGGCCTCGAACTCACAGAGATTTGCCTGGCTCTGCCTTCCGAGTGCTGGGATTAAAGGCGTGCGCCACCACCGCCCGGCTGAACTCAGCACAACTCTTAACAATAACCCATTCCCCAAAACTGTTGTTCTAGGAGACTGGAGAGACGGCTCAGCAGTTAAGGGCACTTGCTGCTCTCCCATAGAACAGAGTTTGGTTTCAGACTCAGAGCCGCCTGCAGCACCAGCCTCAGGCAGTCCAACACCCTTTTCTGGTCTCCACAGGCACGCGAGAGCGCGCACACACACACACACACACACAGAGAGAGAGAGAGAGAGAGACAGACAGACAGACAGAGACACAGAGAAAGACAGACAGACAGCACTCTAATTTTTTGCTGTAGCTCAGGCAGGTATAGTGGCACACGCCTTTAAACCTAGCATTCAGGAGGCAAGGGGCAGACGGATCTCTCCGAGTTTGAAGCTGACATGGTCTAGTAAAGAGTTCCAGGCCAGCCACGGTTACATAAGACCCTGTCTCAAAGTAAATAAATAAATCTTTTTTTAAAAAAAAAATTATTCTAAGCCAGGCGGTGGTAGTGACGGTGGCAGCGGCAGCGCATGCCTTTAATCCAGTACTCGGGAGGCAGAGGCAGATGGATCTCTCTGGTCTACACAGCAAGTTCCAGGACATCCAAGGCTACACAGAGAAATCCTGTCTCAAAAAAACAAAACAAAACAAAAAATAATCTAATGGTTTCCAGATCTCCATGTTCTAAATTAAGGTGAAGTTCAAAAACAGACTTCTTGGTGATTACAGAGGAAGTTCGAGGGTGGGAAACAATAGCTGTGTGTCAGTCTGTAATCATCTAAGTCCTTTGTAAATGCCTTTTCTCCAACGCTCTGATACGGTAAAGAGTAAAGCATTAATTTTGGCACTGCTTGAATAATGGCAACAATTCATCAGATTTACTTCTAATAGGAAGACACAAAAAGTGAAAGTTATGAGGGGGAAAAAATGACCGAACTCTAAGACTATTTCTTATGGGTAATTTGTTAGTTTTTGTTTGTGTGTGTGTGTGTGTGTGTGTGTGTGTGTGTGTGTGTGTGTGTGTGTGTGTGTGTGTTTATTTCCTGGGAAGGAATTCCAAAAAGGATATCTCTTTAAATAGCACTAAACAGGAAACCACAGTTTTGAAGCTGGGAGTTATTTGAAGGGGAGAAGGTCATCCTAGAGGCTGTCATATTTTGTAGCTTTATCCCCTCCTTATAAGATAAGGCGCTGGCACAGTGGCGCATTCCTCAGGAGGCTGAGGCAGGAGGCAGGCAAGTTTGAGGCCAGCCTGGGATACACAGAGAGACCTTGGATCCAAAAGAAGGAAAAAATATTATTCCAAAAGAAAACAGCAAAAAAGAAAATGGGTTTTGTTTTTCCCAGAGAGAGAGAGAGAGAGAGAGAGAGAGAGAGAGAGAGAGAGAGAGAGAGAGAGAGAAGGTTTTGTTGTTTAACAGGGATTTTGGAAGGTTTTCTTTGGTTTGTTTGCTTGGTTGTTTTGTTGTTGTTGTTTTCTTTTGTTTTTTAGATAAAGTTTCCTGTAGCCCAAGCTGGCCTTGGACTACCGCTCACTGTGCCAGCATGCCCAGCAAAAAAGTAAAAATAAAAAAAAAATGGGATTTTTTTAAAATCATGCCAAAAATGCATATAGATGACACACTTCTGAGTAGCTGAAATTATTCTTTTAACTTTTCTTTGTGTGTTACTCATGTGAGTTCTACGACTAAGATTTCTCCCTCCATAAAGATGATTCCAATAGTAATACATCTGAAAGCTGTGTCCTGTTTCGCCTAGTGGATCTAGGCTGTTTGAAAAGCTCATGAGCGCCCCCCCCCCCAGTCCTCTGCTGGTACAGCAAGAGTCATTTATGATGTGTATGAAGCAGGAGCGATGCCTCTGGGTAAGCATACTTTCAGTATGAAGTTTCCCGTGAGAATCAGTAACACCCATAACACCACGGTGTATGGCTGCTTTTCCACTGCTGTAAGTCCCCTTATGTATAAAAAGAATTCTGAGTTGAATGTGGTGGTATACTCCTGTAACCCCAGCCCTTGGAAAGTGGAGGAAGGAAGATAAGGAGTTGAAAGCCAGCCACAGCTCACAGTGAGTTCAAAGCCAGTCACAGTTCCATAGTGAGTTCAAGGCCAGCCTAGGCTACATGAGAACCTATGCCTCAAAAATGAAAATGCTGTTGGTCTAATTTGTGTACTAATTTTAGCAATACCATCTGTTTCTTGCTAAGCTTTTCTTTTGGGTCTCAATTAGGTAACTGGAACAATGCAGATGAACTCGGAATATTGAAGACGTTATTCATCTTACTCTAAAATTGATTGTGTTTATCATTAAACTTCATATAGGGTAGCATTAAATAATTAAAACAGACTGAAAATTAAAAATCAATCAGCATTGTTGATATAAGACTTTTCTGGTTAAGAGTTCACTTAACAAATCATATTGAACAAAAGTGGTGATAGTCTGACCACACAAAAGTATCTTATAATAATGCCACTGTCGGGGTTCATGTTATAAATAACAATATTCTAAAACTACAATCTTCTAACACTGGCTTTAAAAAAAAAGCCTTAAAATACTGGCTACATCTGTTCTCATCAGATCTGGACCAGTTATAACCCAGGATGTATGGGAGAGGTATACATAAATTACCCTCTTGCAAAGAGAGGCCTTTCAAAACATAAAATGCATTATTATGTGCTCATATTAATACTTGCATCATTTTCTACCTCAGATTTTTCACAAAGTTTCAGGCTATTAGTATTTAACTTTACTGCAATGTTTTTATTTGCAAGTTTTTATGATAAAGTTCTTAAAATAGCTAATAGGAGTATTGTGTACATATACACAGCAAAATAAAACTTTCAAAAGTAAAATATTAGTAAATTAGTTCTTAAACATTCAGTGGGGTCAACAAGATGGCCCTGTGTGTGAAGGCGCTTGCTGTTGGTCATGGTGACTTGATGACTTTCCACATGAGGAAAAAAGAGAACCAGCTCCCAGCATGAGTGTGTGCCCTCCACACACACTCATGGCACATGCATCTGTAGGAGCTTACACACTCACAAACGACACACGTAAATAAGTTAATAACAGAATGCACTGTCTGAAACACTCAAGTAGACTATTGGTAAACTAGAGGCATGAGAAAGTTTCTGTCTGACCAGAGAGAAAAGTCTCTGTGGATCTGGAAGGACTGGGTCTTGTTATCTTTCGTAGTAAATATTTATTTAAAACAAAATAGCTTAGCTAAAAGAGGACCTTTTATCAAGATAATCAACTTGGCATGGATAAAAAAAAATCTGTTATTCCTTTAATAAATATAACTTACTAAAAAGTGTATTTTTTACAAATCGTCACTGGTATTCTGCTAAAAAGATGCTTAATTCTATAAATGCTTTTGCATTTCCTCCTCAATAAAAAACTGGCCTCAAAAATTTTCATCTATTCTAGAGTTTTAGCAGGGAAAAAAATGATTCTTGAGAACTAGATGTACATAGTGGGAATTTCACATTTTTTAGATTTACTCTTGTAGTGTGTATCAATTGAATTATGAATAAATGAATGGCATAAATTAATACAGCTGAGAAGTAGATAGCTTTAGAAGAAAAACATTTTCATTTTTATAGTACTTCTAAAAGAATAACACATCATTACAAAAATGTTCTTCATGGCAGAGTTGTTCTTTGATGCAAAATCATTAAAAAAAGATTCTGCATGGTAGTGTATCTGAGCCAAGGTTCTCAGATTTTACCCTAACCAGAATTTACCCTAACCAGAAAAAATGAGAAAAACATCTTTGAACAACAGAAAGTAACATTTATTAATTTCTGTATGAGATTTTGTACTTTGGAATACAGAAGGCACTTTCCATGTGTATGTTAGCCTATAGCTTTGAAAATTTATTGACATATAACTAACTCATAAAATTCAGCCTTAACTATAGAATTCAGAATGTTCATATCCAATGTGGCAGTCATGACCACATAACTCCAAAGCACCTATTAATGCCTTCCCCAGACCCCAAATCCATCAGATGTCACCCCTCATCCTCTTTCCTGAACACCTGCCATCGCTGGTCTTCTTCCCTCTCAACAGATTCACCAAAGCTAGATCGTTCATGCAAAGGGAGCCATACAATCGTGCATACAGTTTTAAAAGATAGTTATTTAATTCATATTATCTCAAATAATTTAGTAGATTAATAATGATAGAAAAGAAAACATGACAATATTTAGAAAATTAGTAATATTATGAAATTAATACTAGATGTATTAATATTCTAGTTTTCTATATTTCAGAAATAAAAAGCATAATTTGCGTCTATTTCCCTAGTCTAATCTTTGTATTTAGATCATCATAAAGTTTCAACAGAGATGTCTTGAATAGAATATATTTCATGTTGTTTTGAATCTACTTACAATCTAGCCTTTCAAGACTACAAACATTATCAGTAAGTTCTTTATTTAAAAACAGGTTTCACTTAGCAAATGGAACAACGCGCATCATCCCTGGACAACTCACATTATTAGATCAGCTGTCCACTATGTCCAACCACAGCCCAAAGTTGCTTTGAGCTTCTCTAGGCAAGAATGAAATTACTGTGTAATCTACTGAACTACCCAAAATATCCTAATTTTAAGGAAAATGGTTTTTAGGGCTTAACGCTTATAGCAACAATCAGCTACTCAGTTTTGCAAAAAGTAACTGGTGACGGCAGAGATTACAGAGCTCAAAAATACCTTGGGGGGAGGGTTGACATCATACAGTTTAGCAAGCATTTAAACTGACAACAAAATTAACATTCATATTCAATTCAGACAGCAGGAGATTAAAAAATTGTCTTATTTTAGAGAAAGAAAACATACTCACAACTGTCCTCTTCCTACAGAAGTGCGTAGATTGAGCAGCTCCGCTGCCGCCTTCCCGCTGAGCAGAGTGGGCGCTTTCCCGACTTATCAGAGCCTGAGGGGGGACACTCCATCCACTTAGCTGCAGACACTCTGCAGAGCAGCAGTGCTCCAGCTCTATCTCGCAGACAAACTTCCCACACAAGCCTCTCTTGGGTCAAAACACGGGCAATTACAGGCTGACATAAATCAAAACATAACTGGACCATCAGGGATCGAGGCCTTGGGACCTGCAGGTCCCACTCTCCAGAGCTCCTTACTGTTTACTTAACAAATGCTTTGTTTTCTTGGTTGAATTTGATATTCTTCCACTTTGGCTATAAAGCACTGGGTCTCTACAAACCAACTACTGTGTACAGAAATGGAGGGAGTTGTACAGAAGAGGTGGAGTCCACACTGATTGAAAAATCCATTAACACAGGTGCTGGATAGTTCAACTTGTTTGCCTGTGTCTTCTATTCCCTACTGAAATAGAAGTTGCTAAACCAATTAAAAATATGAATAATGCCAGGCGGTGGCGGTGCATACCTTTAATCCCAGCACGGGGGAGGAGGGGGGGGCAGAGTCAGAGTCAGGTGGAACTCTCTGTGTGTTCTAGGCCAGTCCGGTCTACAGAGTGAGTTCCAGGACAGCCAGGGCTAACAGAGAAACCATTAGGGGGGAAAAAACATAAAAATTGTTCAGTGTATATATTATCCTCTGTGTTTCTCTCCTCTTCCATTAAAAAAAGAGTATAATAAAAATAGATCCCAGTGCTTGTTTAGGTTCTTATAGCTAATTAGTACAGAGATGAGATTCCATAAAAGTCCAAGCAAGATATGTAAAAAAACTTGACTCTGCCACTTACATAAACCAAGTGCGTTGGACACTAAGCTCATGCTCGCATCCCTTCAAGGCATTCTCGAGGAGGCAAGGTTACATGCAGTTACACTGTCACACGCACGGTTTTCTCTGACCCTCATGACTCACCTGTTTAGTCTGACTCACGACTTTATTCTTGGTCCAGTTTGGGACTTTATAACTGTTACTCTCATGCTGAGTTAGTTCTTCTAGCTCCTGTCTCCACAGGGAAGAATTCACGATGACTTCTCCAAGTCATGGCACATTAAATCATGCTGCTTCTGTCTTTCTTTCTGTTTTAAATTGAGACAGAGTCTCATATAGCCCAGGCTGGCCACAAAGCTGCAGTTTAACTGAGGATGACCTTGAACCTCTGATCCTCCTGCCTCTGTCTCTCATGCTCTAGAATTATAGGCACTCAACACCATTCCCTGCTGTACCCACTTCTTTTTTTTTAACATAATTTTCTTGATGATTATTTGGGAATTTCATATAATGCACCCCATCATCCTTATTTTCCAGTCCTCCCAGGTCAGCACCCCAACCCTTGTGGCCTCCCCACCACAAAAAAAAAAAAATTACAAAAAGTTCAGTTTGTATTATCTGTATAGTCACTGGAGCATGGTCCAACTCCCAGTGGCTACCGCTTAAAGAAATCTGAATCTTTCCCCACCCCCGTCCCTGCCAGTAGCCATCTATTGTGGAGAGCTATACTTTAGCATCCTTATCACGATTTTTAAGAGTTTTCTTCCATGGCTTCCTTGATGTGTAGTCAAAAGACCTAGAAAAATAGCAGCATGGTCTGTTCCCGCCTTGTCTGTTTGATTTCATCATACCAGCAACCTCAGTGGCATCATAGACCATGAAGAAGCAAAAGGAAAACACGTAGGAGAAAAATGCTGGACTTCTTTTCTGGGGATATAAAATACACACGTAAATAAAACACCTCAATGGACAAAACTTTTAAAAACTAGCAACCCTACATTGAAAAAAATAAATAACAAATATAGTGCTTGGTTTATTTTTAAGGCAGTGTTTAATTTCATAAATATTTATATTTATTTGTTCTCATTTTGTTTGTTGTTTGTTTTAGACTCCATATGCAGTCTATGCTGTCCTTGAACTCATGGTCTTCCTGCATCCGCCTCTCTGGTGCTGGGATTGTATGTGAGCCTCACCACATTCAACAGGAACATTTCTTTATTGAAAAAAAAAAACACGTTTTAATGAGAGCTTTAATTACTAATACAAAAGCATAAGCATTAACTTCTAAAGTATTTTATTTTTGGTAATTCCCAATTTCAATCGCTACTGAGAAGCAGAATTATTTGTTTTTGTATTAACGTAATACAGAGTAGTGACACATGCCTGTTATTCTCTGCCATTCAGAAGGTGGGGACAGCAGGTGTGCAAATTCAAAGATAGTCTTTACATACATACATACACACACATACATACATACATACATACATACATACATACACACACATACATACATACATACACACACATACATACACACACATACATATACATACATACATACATACATACATACATACATACATACATACATGGTGAGATGGTTCAGTAGGTAAATGCACTTGCCACACACCTGATGACCTGACTTTTATCTCTGGGATTTACATGGCAGAGGGTGGTGCTGACTCCCACAAGATGCCCTCTGACCTTTATACAAGTGTAAAGCTATAGTGTGCACACTCACACTTGAATGAATTCTATCCACGTGCATGCAAACACACAGAAGTAAGAATATGTAACTGTAAAAATAAATTAAATAAAATTATGTATTGTCCGTCAAGTTTTTTATTAATCATACCAATTTAACAATCCACAGTCTCAATTCTGCCCCAACAACACAAAATCAGTTTGAGCCATTATTATATAAACAAAATGAGGAGGGCTGGCATGGTGTTTGCTGCCAAGCCTTCAAGGTCTGAGTTCATTCCCTGGGACCCACATGGTAGAAGAAGAAAATGAACTCCCAAGAGTTGTCCTCTGACCTCTACAGGTGCACCATATTGCTCTCTCTCTCTCTCTCTCTCTCTCTCTCTCTCTCTCTCTCTCTCTCTCTCTCTCTCCCTCCCTCCCTCCCTCTAATCCTTAAGAAACTCAAGGCACCAGTTTGCCCCTCACCTTTACACTAGCGTGGTATACAGCTTACATATTCTCAGAAACAATGTAATTTCTTAATCCCAGATTATACCAGAGCTACTCTAGTTCACTAACAACCAGCACCCGAATTTAGTTTTACAAAGGATCATTCATTCAGAATTATGCCATTGTAGATTTTCACAGATTTTTCCCTGGTTTATCAAAAATACACTGTGGGATATAGTGTTTGTTCTAAGAGATTTCAAGATATGTGTAAATATATGTCAATACCTTTAGATAGGGAAACAAAACATTTTACAAATTTTGCACAGGCCACTGTCATCTGCATTCTACTTATAATCACATAGTTCATTGGCATGCTCCAAAAGGGTAAGTGAGGAAATCTCTTAACACTTATTCTATTTAGACTGTCGGTCAGTACACAGACATCCTAAACAGAGAGAAATTTATTTATGGTAAATATTAACATGGTTGCCTTGCCAGCGATGGTCTGAAGGGCTGGAAATCCAACCCATCTGTTTCATTTATGGATCTGGGTTTGATATCATTACTTGATTCTCTGCTGTGTACAAGGTTTTAATTTGCATTTCTCTCATGGCTGATCACGCTGAATATCTCAGGTCTTATTTGTCACCCAATCTCTCTTTTGCCTGCATTCGAACTGCTTATCTTTTCACTGTTATGGAAACTTTCTTTAGATATTAGCCAGCCTTATGCTGCATTTGTGAGTTGTAATGTTTTCCCAGCCTATAGCTTATCTTTCCATCCCCTTCTTTTTTTTTTTTTTTTCCTGAGACAGAGTTTCTCTGTGTAGCTTTGAGCCTTTCCTGGAGCTCACTTCGTAGCCCAGGCTGGCCTCGAATTCACAGAGATCCACCTGACTCTGCTTCCCGAGTGCTGGGATTAAAGGCGTGTGCCACCACCGCCCAGCCTTTCCATCCCCTTCTAAGGGTCTTTTGCAGAGTAAAACTTTTTCATTTTGATTATCTACAATCTATCAAATGGTCCTCTTATGGATCCTACTTCTAACATTAAACCTAAAAATTCTATGCCTACTTCTATATACAGAGAGCTTTCTCCTTGTTTTTTAAGTTTTATATTTAAGTCTCCTGTGTTTAGGTAACTTTTTTTCTGTTTTTTTTTTTTTTTTTTGAGACATGTTTTCTCTGTATAGCCCTGCCTGTCCTAGAACTGACTCTGTAGACCAGGCTACAGAGATCTGCCTACCTCAACCTCCTGAGTGTTGGGACTAAAGGTATGCACTACCATAGCTGGCCTAGGTAACACTGGCTTTGGGTTAAGGAATCTCGGGGGCATTGCTTTTTGTCTATGAACATTCTATTCAAAGAAATGATATTTACTGAAATCACTTGTTGAGAAGGTAATATTTTCTCCATTGATTGTCAAAATTCAGTTGATAATATTTCTGTGGATTCGTATTGGTCTCCACACTGTTCTTATTACTGTCACGTGTACTGTACACTTAACTGACTTTATCATCCTGTCAAGATTTTAGTTTTCTGTAATCTTTACTTTTTAAGGTAATTTTCAAAATTAAAAATAAGTTGCAAAACACATCCCAGTGGGGTTTTTATAGGAATTATAGTGAATTTGATGATCACAGTAAACATTCTTGCTTTATTCCCAACCTTAAGGGAAAAAAATTATTTTGGTTTTGTTGGCTATTCGATTGGTTAGTTGATTGGTTAGTTGGTTTTTTGTTTTGGGGGTTTTAGGCATTTCTTTGTTTGTGACAGGGTCTTTCTACAGATCCTTGGCTGGCCTAGAACTCACTATATAGACCAGGCTGGCCTCAAACTCACAGATATCTGCCTGCCTCTGCCTAGAGAGTGCTGTAATTAAAGGCATGTGTCACTGTGCCTGGCAGTTTTTTATTTTTAGACAGTGTCTACCAAGTACCCCAAGCTAGGCTTGAACTCCCTAGATATCGCAGGCGGGCCTCGAGTGGCCTGCCAGCCTCAGCCTTTCCCAAGGAGTGCAGTCTTGGGCTACCTCGTGAGCTAGCACTCTTGCCACGGTGATGCTAGTGAAAGGATTTCTGTAGATGGCCTTTGTCAAAGTAGGCTGAGTCTC